CAATAAATGGTCATCCGCAACACTTAATTAAAAGGGGCATACGGGAAGGAGAAATAATCACTAAAAGAATGATATCTAAACAACAGCAAACACAACAATCGTCAAAAAAGAAAAAAGTCTACTTTCTTCTCTCCTATTATGGTCGAGAATCAACCATATTAGCTCGTAGAACTAACGAATATGTGAAAAACTTCTACCCCTTATAGAAATTAATGTATGCTTCAGAAAAACTTTTACGATTAAAAGTGTATTTCTTCCCATCCAAAAAGGACTAGATGAATCAAAAAAGAAAAATAAATTAGTATATAAGATACCATGCTTGGGTTGTGAAAAATGTTACATTGGAGAAACCGGTAGAGAAAAGGAAACTAGAATGAGGGAATATCAATCTGACATAAAAAAACAAACTGAGTCCTCAAATGTAGCTAAGCATACTAATAAAGAAAAACATACATTTGATTTTACACAATGTGAGACTCTAGCTCTTGAAACAAACTGGCGAAGAAGAATTATCAAAGAAAGTCTATTTACATACCGAATGAAAGGAAAAGCCTTAAATGACGTAAAATTTAAATTAAACATCTTTGCATAAAACTATTACAAACCTATCAATTAGGAGTCATATTATTTGCTCTTTTCTATCTTTTTCCTTTTTTTCTTCTTTTAATGTATTATCAAGTGAATAATAATAATAGTGAAAACCGCAGGTCTCTATCTCATTTCTGTGAAAAGCTATTCGAAAAATATTAGCGCAAATGAAAATAACTTCGCCGGAGGCATGTTTGTGAAAAACTGGTTTTTCGCCTGTTACTAGCAAAATTAAAATCGTTATATCTCGGTCAGATCTCATGCTGACTCAAGGGAATTTTCAGGAAAGATTTAAACGGCGCCATATATTGTTTATCAAGCCGAAAAAGTGGTCCAGTAGAACACTGATGCTTTGAGGTTTTTCAGAAGGTTTCTGGAAAACCTTAAACCAATGCCCAAAAACCAAATTTTTCTTCTTCGATAATGATTTATAGAAGGAAGTCCGAGTAAAATATAGTGTAATCAAGTCTAAAAAACGAAGCTAGAGCTATGCGCGGAAAATCGATAATGCATGACTTTCTGAAGGTATGCACATTGTTCTAGATATTTCTTCTCTCATGCGCATACACCAAGCAACTCGAGCGCATGAGACAAGAAAGTCAAGCAAATACCTCAAGCGTTTTGCATGAGTAAGAAATTCATGTGCATGGAGACAAATCTTGAGGTATGTGCTTGCTCATGTGCTTGAGAAAAAAAGCTTCACTAGGGTATATACTTTCGCTGTATTAGGAATTGTGAATAAATACATGTATGAAAGAAACACAGTAGAACTAAAACTTCATGCAGTTAAACTGGATCCACAAGCCATGAGAATAGAATATTCACAGCCTTTTACTTGATAAATAAGAAAGAACTAAGAAACGAAGGAGGAGAGTGGATTTGACAGAAACCGCGACTCCTTCGCGAGTCAGATCGCGAGTAGCAAAAAGTTGCGCTTTTTTGATAAAAAAAGATAGGAGTCGCTTCGCGACATCGCGAGAAAAAAGTGTCGCGCTCACTAAAAGGAGAAAATGAAGAAATCGACAGCGGGAGTCGCGTCGCGAATGTAGCCACTATATAGGAAAAAGCCCGTTCCATCGCGACTTTATAGCGATCGCGAAATTAGCGAGAAATTTCTCGAGTCTATAAGCGATTGCATTACGCGTTCGCGCCGCGACTTTTTATAGCGACTTCATCGCGATAGTCGACATGGGTGTCAGGTGACAATTAATTATCTCATAGAAAAGCTATTGAAATATGCTCAACTTTCGAGACTCATTACTTAATAACTAAAATATATATCAAAAAAATAACTTCAGCTGTTTCATCTATCTCTCTTGCACTCTCGAATGATGTTTTTCCCAAATCTGCACGATTAGTGGTAGCTGAGAACGAGTGGCTGAATCGAAGCAGAAAGTAGGGTGTGGAAGAAAGAAGAATTTTTTGTAGTGAAACAGAATAAGCCTCTCCTAGTTTCACTCGGTCGGCTTAAAGAATATTACTAGACAACGTTCGAAACTAAACAGAATAAGTCTTCTTGAGTTTCACTTAGTCGACTCAACTAGATGCCAAGAATATTTTTTGATCAAAATTCAGGGCGGGGGTGAGGGCGACGGTAAGTGATTTTTTATCCAATAAAAATTTTTTCGGATTCGACTTTTTTTACTTGTATGATTATCTGACATACAATAAGGCCATACTATGCGAAAATAGTCATTTTTTAACTCAAAAAAAACAGATGTCCGCCTGCTCTACGGAACAATGACCACTACGGACTTGTGTTGTTGTTTTTTCGGTCAAGGATAAAGCAATGAGAGGTTTCGCCGATCTTTCTTAGGAGAGTAGAATTTGATGAACTCAAAAAGTCGAATGGCTATTCAATCCGATTGATCTCACAGCCACGGAATGCCGTTACTACGGATCCCGTCGAATTTTTGAGGCAGTTTTATTTTGTCTTAAATACATTGCAAAAGAATTCTAATCAATAATTATCCATTCAAAATAAAATTGAGCTTGTAATGGCTCACTTAGTGGTTACACTTAGACTAGTCTAAGTGTAATTCAACTGCATTTAGCCCATTACAAGCTCAATTTTATTTTGAATGGATAATTATTGATTAGAATTCTTTTGCAATGTATTTAAGGCAAAATAAAACTGCCTCAAAAATTCGACGAAAAATCAAGAAAGGAACCATTTTTTTTTTGTTGGCATTAGATCGGATACATCTAAACAACTCAGTTGCTTTTCGTTTTGAACTACAGCGTTCTTTTCATTAACGTTTCGTTTTTTTATTTAAATAATGTATACAAATTAAAAAAATTAAAAAACATACCCAAAATCAAATATCAGGACTTTTTGTTTGAACTCTCGTTCTGAAAAAAGCCGAGATCTTCCCATTCATGTTTTTTCATCAGATTTCTAAACATTACAATAAATGATATAAGTCAGTCAATAATTAGAAGAAAAATAGACATGTCAACCGACCAGTCGCTGAAAAATCCTTACTTTTTCTAGAAAAATTCTCCTGAGTGAAAACGAGACAAGAGAGTTCAGTAAGGACTGGATATATCTGTCATCTTACTAAAGACATTTCTCATTACATAATTAATCGTAATCATGGACGCGTAGACAATGTGGAGTAGACATCTATTGTTGTTTTTTGTAATGAATATTTTGTCAATTTATGGTTGTGTACTTGACATCAAGAAAGTGTTGAAGAAAACTTTGAATGAAAAATGGTAGTCATATGTCTAAAATTTTTGTTCATAGTAAACGCTTGTTAGATTTAAAGTAGTTGAAAAAATTCCTTTTTTTATCTTGTCATTAAAAAGATTTCTGCATAAAATTTTATCCTCTTTCTCTTATTTAAACAGTAAAAAGATTGAACACCGTTTTCCAAGAAAAGAAATCAGCTTTGAAATCAGAAATCAATTTTAATCATCATGATTTTATGGAAAACTTTGTAATCTCTAATCACTACCGTTAAGGAGACGATAAGTTGACATGTCCAAAATGTGAGAAGAGTAACCTGCCTACCTGTCCATTCTGCATTGAAAATAAATCTTCGATTCTTCTTGACATTTTGAATATTTATTATCATTTTGAGCTAAACATAGAATATAATTTAACATCGTCTCTTTACATTCACCTAAAATTGAATAATAATGATTTATTTACGTACATCAATTCGAATTATTTAACAAACCTTCATGATCGAGAGGAAATACACCGCGTTCTGGTTTTGTTGGGGTAATATGTTTTTGCTGTAATGTATAACTAGTCATAAATGTCTAGAAACAAAAAGACAATTTTCGAATATGTTTAGACAAATGCAATAGAATCTTGAAAACTTGAAACATTTCGTTCTCATTTGAACAACCTCATCAATGCTAACAAATGAATAACTAAAAAAATTTGACAAGATAAACATGCAATATCTATGAGTAGGAAAAACAAACGCTAAATAAGGGATGCTTTTAGAAAACGTAACGAGAATAATTTACAATATATAGCATAGCCAGATCTTCAATCCTTGTCTAAAAATCCATCTCGGTTTCTTTCTGTAGTGTTATAGTGTTATAATATAACACTACAGAAAGAACTTATAACAGTACAGTTATTTAACCTTTTCGTGCCGGTTTTTTTTTGTCTGAGAGCTCAGCCCGTATATATACAGGCCGTATATACAGGCACGAAAAGGTTAAGTATGCATATTGTCTATCAGACTAGGCAAACGATACCTTAGATGACAATTAAGAAATAGAAGTAAAAGAAACTCCTGTTTACTTCAATCAGAAGGCTCGAAATTTGTAGAACATCAACATATCTATGTTGCTGACTGACCGAGTCTTTCAGTTTTATTTACAATCTAAAAGAAAGAAGAGCAACAATAATAACAAAATAAAAAATTAGAAAAACTTTTGTATATCTTAAGAAGAATATGAATTATCATAATATGCTTGTTGCTCCGGCTAATCAACATCTATACCCGTCCAATAATCTTGTTTATAACCTTCTTTTGTATGATCAAGTAAAGCTTTTCGTCGACTTGCACAATAACGATATTTATCTTGTACTTTTTGTATCAAATTAACATCAGATAAATCTTTTTCTAATAGACCTGTTAAATCTTCTATAGCCGTTTCTAAATTTGATTGATTATCTTCAAATGTCTTTAAAAACAAAATAAGAACAGACTATTTAATGACCGTCTCTGAATACATGAGTTGAAGCGATTCACTGAACTTTCATCGAAAATACTTTTTGGCTTTTGGTTCATCCTGAAAGAACTTTCCTACGCACTCTCATGGCTCTGCTATCCGCTAAATCTTATCCGTGCTTAAGTTTCTTAACCATACACTAGCAGTAAAAAATTTTAATAAAATATTTTTCGATGAAGGTTCGCAGTATCAGTTAAAGCAGAGAAGTTACACTGGAAATTTTCATAAACCAATTATTGCTGCCCAAAAATGCTGATAAGTATTTTATGAATAACTTTTGATAGGGATGAGATACAGACCTTCGGTTTTCAACATTTGATAGAAGACATGTGAGATTATAATCCTATGGAAAAATCTAACCTGGTGTAAGTCTCAAGTCTCCATCTACCGTGATTCGAGCGCTAGCTGCGATCTGTGAAGATGGTTGAGAATGAACGTGCTAGAAGGTTTTTATTTTGGTATGATCACAGAGGAAAAATCAAGTTTTCTGAAGAATTCATCTTTTGAAGTCTGTTTAATCCGAACAACAAAACAAACATCGTCACGATGTTTCCAGTGTTCGAAAATCTATATTTCATATGTTTTGAAGGTTGCCGGGCTTTAGATTTAGCCGATAGGTACATCTTCTGAGATTGTCTATAGCGTCCGAACCACGGTAGATGGAGGCTTGGGACTTACGCCAGGTTGTAGAGCACCATGTGTTATATACCTACGTGTGTTTAGAGCAGTTTTTGAAATGACAGGCTCGGACATTTTGTTTCGAAAGGTATACCTCTTCAAAAGACTGGATTTTTTCCATAGGATTATAGCCTTACATGTCTTCTATCAAATGCTGAAAACCGAAGGTCTATCTTTTTCGGCGACGATATTAGTTTTATGACTCTCAAAAAGGTTAAATTTTCTAACAAATAGCAAATACTCACGCTCTCTTACAGTATTATTTTCGTAAACGACTACATACCTTCGATTGATTAGTTGGATGTAAATAAAAAGCAAATGGATAGGTAAACATTAGTGTATGACGACATTCTTTTAAACAATTACCAGCCAATAGAAATGCTAAAATTAGGCAAAAAATAATCAATCATTCGAAAACGTCTCGCTCTTTGTCATTTCTCATTCACTTTGTTGATCAGTATATGATTTTTTTAATTTTTGCATTGCTTCAATACGTTCTTGTATTTTTTCTAATAATTTATGTTCTAATGCTAATGATCGAAGATGATTATGATAACGTTCAAAATAATGTAAATAACGGTTTAATTCTATTTTGGAATTTTCTTGTTTTTCTAATATGTCATCTGCAATAAATCGATTACAGTTATGAGCATTATGCTCTTTCCAATCACCAAAACATAGCCAGCAAAATTCGTGATTACAACCAGTTTTACGACATGTCATATGATTACATCCTCCTAGAAAACAACAGAGAACAATCGAACATGTTTGTCAATGTATCACGCTTTAGATAAACAAGACAGATTTGATTTTATCTATCCATTACAGAGAAAAGATTCTTCTTTTCAGAAAAAATCTCGATCGAAAAGTTATACGACTAAAGAAAAGTCTATCTTTAAAAGTACTAAATCCATCTGTTATCTAGCAAACTTCGTTCAATTAAGTGCTGAAAAATGTCCATATGAAAACTAAGAATCTTATACAAGTACACACAATTCTTTCCTCCTTCTATTACAAATTTGCGCTTTCTTTCGCCTTTGGTAGTTTAAGATATGATGATCTGTCTATTACTTAGGGTAGTCCAAAAGTAGTGGTTTCAGTATTATATTACTCCACGGAAAGCTTGAATATTTCTTCCCATCTGTACTTGTAGTGTCAACAATGCTCTATATTTCTTCAGTATATCATCCTTCACCATTTGCTATTGTTATATAAGAAAAGTTCGACGGAAGCTATGCACCCAAGTTTTAGATGAATAAAGAAAACTTTTGTTTCTACATTAAAGTGCGTACTGCACTTCATATTGAACCAAAAGTTATTCACGACGAATTATATTCTGTTTTCGGCGACAAAGCTCCATCTCACAGTACAGTTGTAAGGTGGTCAAAATGGTTTCGTGAAGGTGGAGAACAGATTGAAGATGAACCACGATCTGATCGACCTGTAACCGAGACAACATTCAAAAATATCGAAGCGGTTGGAGTCTGAAAAAGAAGCAAAACCCGTCTTAACGAGGCATATTTGTAGCGC